TAATTTGAAAGAGAAATTCACGAGTGGAGGATGAACGATGAAAAGTTTGCTCAAGAGAACACAAGAAATTTGTTATTAAATTTTTCTACTCTAAGTTATTCAACATTGCTCCCGAACAAATTGCTACCGACACACAGATTACTTTTTCAGGTTACATCGAACGTAATTGCTTTCAGATCATACGGATTTCGTGAGAGACTCTGTAGCCGGCGGGTAACTCCAGGTAAAAGAAGTAGGAAAGTCGTCACTCGGAGCGACGATTTGTATCTTGCTGTTGCGATGGGGCTGCGTGCGCGGCGACGCAGGTGCCGCTCTTAATGCGGTCTTAATTTTTTTCGCTCGTGCGCAAATAATAGGGAGGAGCACCGTGGCAAAAAAGGATTACATGGCTGTGCACAGTCATTTTCTTCATAGCGTAAAGGAGATATAATAACGATATTTTATCTAATCTTCCCAATCTCTGCCGACATCCGCAAATATTTCGATCCCTTTTAGCCAACCGTCGCGAGGCCGTTACCTTCTACGTAAGAGTTATCGATATCGCTGTGCTTGTTCCGATAAAAAATATCTATACTCAAAAAAATCATTATCTATGCGTAAAAAAAGTTATCTACATGTGGAGCCTTATAAAAATATTTCGCCATTTTTGCTCTTCATATGGCCATTTTTTCGCTCCTTTTTTAGTCCATTCTACCGTTTTTATATCCATTTCTTGTGCTCTCAAACATGCGTAGTCTGTTAAACGAAAGAATATGACGCATACATGCGAATATGCATGAGTATTTTTGAAGAGATTGCCCGTTTTCAATATTTGTTTACCAACTGATGAGTGAGAGCATATTAATACGTTCTTCTTTTATTCAGTTTCGTTTCAATATGGAAAGAAGTACGGTAAAGTGTCGTGCATTCATTTATGTTATTTGATAATGTGTAATGTGAGTACTTTTGAGTTTTAAATGATTATTTTGTATTTGTAGCTGAATTTATATCACTCGGATATACTCGTATGCAATCCTCTGTAACCACTCGTTTTTACGGAAAATAGCCCCTTTTCAGCCGAATATATGCTTTCACTACTCGAACTAACAGTTTTCGCCGGTTAAAAACGCTGAAATATTTTTATAAGAGAAAATGATCTCGGCAGAATTGAATGCACACAGAAGCGTACGGTAAAAACCAATTGCTTTCGTGTAACCGAATTTTTCATCACTTGGAGACCAGACGGAAAATCATTCGTAGGAACAGAAAGATTCCTGTAGGAGGTTTCTCCTCAGTCGATCTCAGTTGTCCCAACCAAGTTTCAATGCGATTGAGTGTTCACAATCGCGGTAACAGAGATATGTCATTTCTTGTCATCGAGTTTTCACCTTGTCCCCGTTCAGTTGCAGGAACTGAAACTTTCGTTCCGTGCGGATGCGTGTGTATCACGAAATTTTGATCGGAGAACCGGTATTTTATCTCGCGTATCATGGTTTTTGAGCTGGACGCAAGGTAGACAAATGGAAGTAGCGTGACGACGTGCACCGACGCGAGATTCGACTGCAGCTGCATCGCCGGTAGCATCTTCGTTCGCGCGTAAGTTCCGGTTCCGCACTCCGGAACGAACGGGTGACTCGCTTCTGGGCCGTGTAAGGCACACCGCGTAAGTGGTTTAATGGGGCTGCGTTCGGCTGACAAGATAGAGGGTGACGATAAGGGTCCCTCCTCGTTCTCCTTCTCCTTCGGGGGCCACCTAGAGGAAGAGGGAGGGTGCGTGACCGCACGGAACGCCGCGTGACGCGTGTAATAACCGTAGCCGCGGCCTCTCCGCGGCACGCACCCTGCACGAGGACCGAGTGTATACTTACTCGTATACTTACGTGCCGAGCACAGTGCCCCAGGTTGCACGGCAGGTGCCGTCGAGGATTCTAAAAGGATCACGTCGGCAAAGGGGAGCCGAACAGGGCCGTACGACTATCGCCAGGTAAATAACGCGACGAGAAAGATCAAGCACGGCTTTAAAAGTCCGTGGGACTTCGACAGCGAGCTCGAGATCTTCTATTGATGTATCGATGGAAATCAGGAACAAGAAAGCAGAGAGGAAGAAACCTTTAAATTAGAATCTTACGTAGTTTTACGGCTATATCAGCATTTTTTTTCAAGGGACTGTAGGACTAGAATTTTTTCGATACTATCCAGAATGCTCAAATATTCTGTATATTATACTGATATTTATATTACATCAGTACTTTCTCTATAGTTATTGTTAATCTTGATGACGTTTAAAAATAATACGAGGCTGACATTTAACATTAACAAGAGTGAGGCAGGATTTTTCAAAGAATCCCCAGAGATTTCAAATATACTGGAGAGGAGGAAGTAAGGGAAGGTTCTTTGATGTTGGCCACCGTTGCCGGCTCACGTTAATATTATCTTTTTACCACGTTCTTGATTAATGTTCCGAGGCTGACACGTTCGGCCGCGTTTTTTGTCAGCGCGGAAGTTCGTGCTCCAATTAACTTGATTGGGCGGATTAACGAGCCCGCTGTTATCGCCTTCGCATCGTGCGGTCTTTACCGGCAGATAAGAGAAAACTCTTGGCGAGTTGGAATATTTATTTATTGTCCGTGCGAAGCGCGAGATACACTATTACTCGCTAAATTCCACTGCGGAGCAGAAGTTGCGTGGAGAATAAGTTTGTTTCTCAAAGTTAAGAATATCCTCTCGCGGTTTCCTCCCGATTATCGTCTTCCCGACCTCTTTCTTGCCCGGTATTCCCCTGAAACAGAAATTTAAGTAATCACCTTTAATGATTTTGATAATATGGCATTCCCTGTAACGATTTTGAAGAGACTCGCTTCGTAACATAATAGTTAATATTCTGTTCGATGAGCGACTGACATAATTCGTTTGCATTCGATTGACGACACGATTTGTAGAGAGAAAAAGTGAAAGTTGCGAGACAGTTGTGATTTTGAGCTACAAACTTGCACACTGTCAATTTTTCAAATTACGCACATGTGTCAGTAAATATATCTTAAAATTTATATATATATATATATATCTCCCATAGCGATACAAACATAAATCGCGTATACACTGAGGAAAAAAGGTTTGGATCGACAAAGTCGGCGGCCATCCTCATTTAAATCAATTGTGTCCACTGAATAAAACGCAACGATATATCGCGTTGATACGATTGCTATAGAAAACCCCCGAAAAAAGAAATTTATGATGTTATTTCAAGATCGCGGGTGATACTTTCATGGTTAGGCGAAATTTCATCGATTCTACCACTTTTCTTCTCAACATAGACAATAACGCGTTGAAATTATCGATATTCTCCCACGGGTCGCTCGTCTCGATATCTACAATTGTTTGCTGGATTATTCTCGTCGTCTACGCTCCCCGTTCTTGAGGAAGAACGCGGAATTTCAAGGCGGAAGCGGAATGTGACGTCACGGTAGGCGGACGACGACAGTAACAACGATAACGTATTGTTATCCCGTTCGGGCCGCGTAAATCGGCATGGATATTTTACGGCACCGCGAGCAGATTACAGGCTCAATTAGCATGAGGACTACATAATTAATAACTTGATTAATGCGCCGAGGCGGAACGTCTGTCCATTCGTGCCCGTCAGGTTCGGCCCGCCGAGTCGTGATATCTCGCGTTTGCGCCGGCAGTCGCGTCGTAATCGATTGCCGTCGTATAATGTCGCTGCCGATCGCTTATGCTTACTGCTCATCGCATCGGCACGGCTCGCTTACGTTTATGTGTGTTTAGGCTCCGCCACCGCCGCCGGGCAAAACTCATTAGCGCGCCATTTCATATTCCGGAAGGGAAGTTGGGACCGGCTGGCGACCGGCTCGCGCGACCGGCTACCCATTAATTCCGGTCAATTGTCAGGTAGACCGTTGAAAATCTGGCAATATTGAGTGCCCCACGGTAATCGGTCCTAGGGCACCGTCGGCCATGCATCGTGACGTTCGAATTCTCCGAACGAATAGCTGATGAATGAGTGACGCACAAGAGAGATTATCGGATCGCCGATAGGCGCGTGCGCGTTTTTATGAATCTCGATGCAACTGAACTCTCGCGAGTTTGGAGTTTTTTTGTAAATTTTGGCAGAATCGCGAGAAATCCGAGCGATAAAATCTCGCGGAGACCTGATCGCATCCTTAAAAAATTCATCATATACAGATATACATGGGAAAGAAGAAATTAGTTTCCACGGTTAAATACTGAGCTCTCTGTATAATATAACTGAAATTTAGTTACAAGACCTGGTTTTCCACTGCGGGAACTAATTCTTACGACTATAGTCGTGGGGGAAAACATTCCCACAGTAACAAATTAGGTCCGGTAACTGATATTTATATTATATAGACAACTAATTTTTAGCTGTGGGATCTAATTCTTTTTTTCACCGTGTAAATCTCACGAAAACCCCGCAATGGGAACTTTCGACATGCGAGGAAACGAGGAACTTTGCCGCCTAGATATTCATTTTGCTTTTTCTCAGGAGCTAAGTGAACTACGGTGAAAATCACAACACGTTTTGTAAATCACAAGCGAGAGCCGAACATCAGCAGCAACCCAACGTCGATGCTTCGGGATACGCTTTTTCCCCGTATGTCGCTCTTTTTTTTCCCACGCGAATGTACTCTCGCGGCGGACGGCGAATTAGACAGACGAGCTGCTTCCGTATACAGGTAGTCGGTGTATATCGAACATTTATCAGCGGCGAAGACGGGGAGGCTGATCTCGAAAGACAAGCGCGATTGAGTTACGTTGATTTTATTCCGCATTATTCCACCCAGGGATCGCTCCTTGGCCGAATCAGTTTTATTTCCCGGATTGCCGTCTGTACGTGCGCCGAACGGCAGCTCGTTCGTTCGCTGACTGGCTGGCTGGCTGGCTGGCACGCCGGGATTAACGTCATTGCGGTTTTTAAGCAGGCAATTTCCTAATTCGGTGCCCGGGGATCCCTGATTTATCGCGCTTTTGCCAGTTATTCCGTACCGCTGGTGATTTACGACAGGGTTCCGTCGCCGCCCCGCTCCTTCGCCGCGATCTCTTCCTCCTCCTGCGTTTCTTCCGCGACCGACCGCCGCGCGTCCTCCTCCGCTTCTTCTCGCTCGTTCTTGTACCCCCGAACGTACCGAGTTCAGAGGGTGCATCTCGGCGAAGTCGTACCACACCATGACGGAGTGATTCTGCTTCGAGGTGTTCGTTTTATCCGCGGAGATGACGCGAGAGATCCTCGATTCGTGGCGAAGGAAGCCGGCGGAGGCAGTCGAGAGTCGCAAGGAGTAGAGTCCCTGTAAGAAGAGTCGGGACATTATCTCTGTGGCCGCCATATTTGGGTTAAAACCGGAAGTTCACCAGCCATGATGTGCGAAATGTTTAACCTTTTTAGTGTCGAGCAAAAGTGTCGTACCTATACGAAGAATACCGAGCCAATTTGACGAATTTGCTAAGGTTTGGGAAAAAGCTCGTAAAAACCGAACTAAAAATGATATTGACAAAATTCAAGAAGCAGCATATTACGAAATAAAGAAAGAATAAAGTAATGCCAATTGTATTTCAATATTTGTTGAAAATCATACGAATAACAATATAAAACATGATGGAAAACATAGAGACAAGTTTCTCTTCTACAAACAATATTTGCACATAAGAATAATCATCGTTTGATCACAGTTTTATGTAGATCACGCAGTATGAAGTATAAGTATTACATTTTCAATCATTTTTAACAAAATAACTAATATCGGACCTGAGAACGAAACTGCCCCGTGTCGAGTTTCTACCTTATCGCTCCAGCGTATACAAAGCCTCGGCACCAACCAGCATAGAATAAAACAAAAAGTTAAACCCAAAAACAATTTTTTAAATTCTTTTGCAATGAAATTAGACCGTTTATAACGTTTCATAAATTTATTTTGAGATAGAGCTTTCTCGCAATGCAAATAGTAAGACGCCCTCGGATACGCGACGATATATCGTCGTTGGTACTTTTCGCAAGTGTTGCGAACGACGATATATCGTCGTTCGGCATTAAAAGGGTTAAATACTACTGAGACAGGTGCAAACCAAAATATCGTCATCAAAATGAACTTATATAAGTAACAAAATTAAAAAAAGATATACAATATAGAAAAAAATGACTTATTTTGCGTGTCTGTCAATACACAACATAACATACTTCATACAAACGCGAATCCCTAATAAGAACATCCACATATAATCGACATGGAAGCTATATAAGCTAGTCGATTTCACGGATTCTCTTATGGAATCCTTTTTTAGCTATCCATTATTCCGTCCCATATTTACTATCCATATAATTTGCAATTCCTTTTCTTTTGGATTAGCAACACATCTTTATTTTCTTTTTTTTGATAAATCATTACAATATTCGGCCACACAATCAGGCATGTTAACATCGCAATAGAGGATAGATTAATTTAACCTACGCATATGTCAAATGCATCAAAGTGTATTTATTTGTATAAACACCATTATGCATTTATCCATTTATTTTGAAGAAAAACATATTAATCACAATATGGAACACATAAACTCATTTTTCTTTTAACACACTTCGTAGACTTCGTAGATGTCTGCTTGTATTGTCAGTCGGCTGATAACTTTGACATAAACCCAATCGGAAGCTTACCGAAACATGGCGGAGGCAATCAGAAAACAGACATACGGTATCCAGGCTCCTATTATAGGAACTCGAGCGAGGTTGTCGACTCGCGGAGGATTCTGTGCCGACGATCGCGGTTTTGAATCCACGTACATCGCAATCGTTCGCGTTTCTCACTGCGAAATCGCGTTTCCACCACGTTTGCGATCTCTTGCGATTTTCCAGAATCACGTATCGCTGAGGTGCGCGTGAGCCGTTTCTCGCACTTTGCATCGAACGTACACACGTAGACTCGAGATTTTCAATCGCGAGAACAAGGTTAGATAATTACCGCAGTTCAAAAGAACCGTCTAGAGATCTTCGCCTCGTTCGTACGTTAAGAGCGGCATTTACACGTAAGAACGTGACTCTTTTCTGCCTTCTTTCTTCTCCCGTACGGTGCAGAGTGTGTCGCGTTTCCTCCCGCGCCACGACAAACGTCGTTACCGTTAGGCCGGCGGTTAATTGGATAATTAATTGGCAGCAGCTACGAACGCACGGCGCCTCGCGTCGCCCGCGTGCTCCGTTCGCGTCCGTGCGAAGTTCCTGATAAATCATAGGAAGAGGAGCGTTTCGGAAGAATGCAATCTACGCGCGTGATTAGACGATGCACGCCGATGCGCCGGTGAGACGCGACCTCACCATGTTGCGCGATAATCAGTTTAAAGCATCTGTCCTTCTCCCTCTCTCCTCCTCACGCTCGATCCCTTCCGCTCGCATCCATTTTTAATCAGAGGTTCAGAGGTGAGCCGCGATAGTCAGCCTATCCGAAGGGTTTTTGCCCCCTTCGTCGTTGCCGGTGAATTCAACCGGCAAGTTCAACGCACCTACGGACGCTCGCTTCTGCGGACTTTCCACGATGCGTGTTTACGCGCGTCCGCGCGCGGAATCCTGAAGCGGATCGTATGGGAAGTTTTCTCCTTCCGAAGGGGAATTACAAACGCGCTCGCGCGCCCATGCCTCTCGATAATTAGTCCTAATCAGTGTTTAATCGCTGTCCGACGCTGTGCGCGGAGCGCGGCAATCAATGCGTTCTCATCAAACGCCGCGCGCTCGTTACATTGTACCGCGAGACCCAACACAACGGGGAACATGCCTACGCCGCCTTCGGCGAAGAGGAGGAGAAAAAAAGGAACTCACGCGAGCACCGCGATATCGTGGTCGTCGCCGTCGTCGGTCTCGAATCTTTCTCCGCACGATAGATTTCCGCTTCCGCGTGTTACTCCGCGAGCAGGGAACAAAGGGAGCCGCTCTGCGGCCGGTTAAGTGGGTTAAGATAATAACGCGGCCGCGATTTTTGCGACTTCCCGACCGAGACTGTCCCGCGCAAAAAACATCGAACACCGGTGCTGCCGTGGCGCAGACGATGCAAACCGGGCGCGCGTTTCGCACGCCTCAGATATTTCGCGTCGCTCGTCGGCCGGCCGGTCCCGTCCGTCCGTCGCGCGTCGGCGAAAGTATATTTTTTCACGACTCGCTGAAATGACGGCCGGCTCTCCCCCGTGCCGCCCCCGTGCGTTCCTTTGTTATCCGAGAGAACGTCGAAACTGTTGTTTCTCTGCGCGCAAAAACAGGGAGAGAGATACGGGAGATGGAGGCGATTCACGGTGGACCGATCATCGCGCGAAAACAAGAGCGGCTTGTTTTCGCGGCAGGCAAACTTGATCGGTTTGCGTGCCGCGGAATACCGCGCGCGAGTTTGCGTTGAAAAAAGGGGGAGAGAGAGGGGGGGAGACAGAAAGAAAAAACGAGCGACAGAGAGAGAGAGAGAGAGAGAGGGAGGGGAAAAAACACATCTGAAAAAAATAGTCGGCTATTTCGTCCGCGCGAATGCATCGAGCGGATGCGGGGGCGGAGGGAGGGGGAGAGGGGGTGTTGGGCCCTTCAAGAGATTCGCACGCGCGCGGAAAGTACACTCGTGCGACTTCGCATGCAATGAAAAATATGTAGGCGACGATAACGGACGCGTTGGAGACGGAGATTACCGAGAGAGTTATCGAGTACCTTTTCTTTTATTACGTCCTCGCACGGTTTGTATTCGTCTAACTTATATTTCGCTCGAAATTCCATTTCCGTCCGCGTTTACCTTTTTCTACCTGTATATTCACGTCGGAAAAAAATCACACATTGCTCATCTAGTAGGGCAAGAAAAAAACAGACAGTTACGAGGCACCGGCGAGACGAGAGAGACAGTTACGGACACTAACGAGATTTCGATGTGACGACGGTTTATTTGCACGTGACTGAGATATCTGCGAGTCGCGTGGAAGTACGATCGAGTCGGAGATCTACCGCGTTGTTTTTCGGCGTTTCTCTAACAAAGTAGATAGTCGCATGTATTTACACAAATCAGTCGAGCTCGCGCTCATTAGGATACTCTCGGGAGGCCACCCTCTTTCTTCGGCTACCACGTTGACGTTACTAAATGTATTTGTGCGTTGCGGAGGGTGGCCGAGGGTGGAGCAAAACGCGAGAGAATCCGGTTGGGCTCGGTGGTGGGTTAGATAGAGAGAGATAGAGAAAGGCAGAGAGAGAGAGAGAGAGAGAGCCCTCGAAACGATCGTTTCGAGGTTAACGAGGAGGGCTGTGATTCGGAGGGGGTGGGTGACCAGAGAAAGGACGACGGGGAGTCGGCGTGCTGTAGTCGCGGGTGGATAATGGCGGAGACGACCGAGTCGACGATAATGGCAGCCCCAGGGACATCGCTCGTACTCGAAGGATCGGTCTTCGCGAGGAAACACTCGTTAGCACCTCCTAACTGTCCCGAGTCGCGGTCACGCTTATGAATTCCGTCAGTCGTGAAGCCCTGCCGCCGCCCTATATCGTATCCTTATGAGCCTTCCGCTTCCGTTGCGACTTATCACATCTATCCCGACGTTAATTGACCACCGAGCCGATGCTGGGCGGCCTCTACTTGCGAGTTCTACGGCTCGGCCTCGCGTGGGGAAACCCGATGGAGATTTTAGGGTGAGAAGATCAGATTTGGGTTAGTGTCGGAGATTAATTAGGTGTGAACGGAGACGTGAAGGAGATGTTTACGCACACACGCGAGATAACCGGAGGTTCGTTTCGGTCGCGGTTTTTACGAGAACAAACACACTTATGAGGATTGTTTTGCACGTCGTTCAAAGTGATTTGCAACGCGCGGCGTTATTTGAATTGTATTGAAATCACTTACGTTAAAATCAGCTAATTGGCGCACACACCGACTTCGCAGGTATTTCCACGCTTTATCAGCGCCGCGTTTTTTTACGCGGTCGAACGGTTGAACCTTAAGAGGGGCGGGGAAGCTCGGTGTAATTTTTTTCAATTCATACATCTCGTCGCTATTTTTTCACAGCGGTCAGCTCGATTTAACTTACGGGTGTAATCGATGTCAGGCCTCTCCTACCTACATGTACCGCCGGCACGTATGTGGGACGACCGTAGTAGCATTGCGCACGTAACATCGCGATAACGCGAATATTACGTTTCTGGGTAATTAATTTCTACGACAATTATACCCGAGCGAGAATCTGCGGAGGAATCTATTTGCTTAACTCATGCGCGCGCGCGAGCGTTCGCGTAATGTATTCTCCACTTGGCGCGACTTTCAATTAATTGCACTCGTAACTGATATTTCCGGCG